ACATAATGAAGAGCGGAGTCAGCTTAAGCGCAAGCTGACAAGAAGTCTACGCAATGATCGCGAACAGTGGTGGGTAGCGAAAGCAAGAGAGATGGAAAAGGCAGCGGCAATAGGTAATAGCAGACAATTGTTCAGACTCGTTAAGGAAACCGGAATTAGGAACCCGACCGTTAGCGAAACAATCTCAGAGAAAGATGGACATATTATTCATTCTCAATCCAGGAGATTGGATCGATGGGCAGAACACTTTAGGGATCAGTTCAACTGGCCTTCAGCCACACTTCGGTTTCCCACGATCTCCAGTCAACCTGAATGGCAAGTTAATGTAGGTCCTCCGTCTCTTTACGAAGTTGAAAAAGCCATAGGAAATCTGAAACGAGGGAGAGCAGCAGGCCCTGACAGGTTTACTCCTGAGATTTTTAAGGATGGTGGTCCAGTATTAGCAATGAGATTAACTGAGGTCTTAGGTAGAATTTGGGAACTGGACGTAATCCCATCTGACTGGTCTCAATCACTGATTGTGCCAGTTTTTAAGAAAGGACAAAAGTCCTCTTGTGACAATCACAGAGGAATCAGTTTGACTAATATAGTGTCTAAAATATTAGCTTCAATAATACTTCGACGCCTAACCAAAGCTCGTGAAGAGCAGACTAGAGAAAACCAGGCTGGTTTTCGACCTGGACGTGGTTGTATAGATCAGATATTCACACTACGTCAGGTTCTAGAACACAGACACACATTCAGACGCCCCACAATGGTAGTATTTCTCGACCTTAAGGCGGCATTCGACTCTGTTGATCGTGAGGTTCTATGGCAGTGTTTGTCACTGAAAGGAGTACCAAAGAAGTACATTAACCTTATAAAGGCTCTCTACTCGAACACAACTGGTAGAGTGAGAGCTTATGGCGAACTGTCATCAGAATTGATTACCTCAAGTGGTGTTCGTCAGGGCTGTCCACTCTCCCCATTCTTGTTCAACTTTGTCATTGACGTACTTTTAGAGATAACACTCTCCTCATCTAAATTTACAGGGGTTGAACTTCTACCGGGAGGTTCACTTGTAGTGACTCACATTTATCACGAGAACACGACTGGTTTAATAAAAACAATTATTATTATAACCAACTGTACCAGTGTTTGTTTTAATGTGCTTTTGTTTAACTGTGCTAATTATAGCCATTTTGTGCTTCCATTACCTTCCATCATTGTTCCGCGGTTTTTGGTACTGTTCGCACGTACTCCTGTCTTCTGCTTCCACTTGTACCACTTCTTGGCACGATCTCGGTATTCGTTCAATACCACGAGATCGCCAACGAAATAAATCTGATTACACTCGATCCTCGCCTTCTGATTTATCTGACACGTGTTTCTGGGTAGCGGTGTTCACAGTTAATCTCAACTCGACGCCACGCTACACACTTGTTGACTTAGAATATGCTGATGACATAGTTTTATTTGGTGAAGACGCTGACAAAATGCAGTCTTCTGACCACTCTAAGCAACAATGCAAGCATGTTCGGGATGCGATTCTCCCCCTCGAAATGCAAAATGTTGCTTCAGGATTGGGTTGCATTGACACCCGAACTAATGATAGGGAGTGAAGTAATTGAACGTGTCGATCGCTTCACTTATCTTGGAAGTCTCATCAGCCCTTGTGGTCTGGTGTGTGACAAAATCTCAGCACGGATACAGAAGGCTCGACTAGCTTTTACCAACTTGCGTCATTTATGACGTAGGCGAGATATCTGTCTATCAACCAAAGGACGGGTTTACTGCGCAGCAGTTCGTCCCGTCCTACTTTATGGCAGTGAAACATGGCCGGTAAGAGTAGAGGATATTCGTAGGTTACTAGTATTTGATCATAGGTGTCTTCGAAATATTGCTCGTATATCCTGGGGCCATCGAGTAAGTAATGCAGTTGTTAGGAAACGGGTACTAGGTAAGGATGGCAAATCAATTGATGACGTAGTGAAACTTCATCAGTTGAGATGGCTTGGACACGTGTTACGTATGCCCAACGACCGACTGCCTCGACGTGCGATGTTCGGTGGTATAGGTTGGAAGAAAGGTAGGGGCGGCCAGACCAGAACATAGCACAAGTCCATGGAGTCACTGACAAATAGTCTGAGTCATGTCGCTAGGTGTAGACTACCTGGTTGGGGACCACGAGATGATAGCAACCGATGGTTAGAGACCCTGAATGACATGACTCAAAATCGTTTGCAATGGCGCAGGTGCATAAACTCTTTGTGTTCTCCCAAATTTTGATCTCCTTATTCCTCCTTGTCTCTTTTTTTTCTCTCCCAAATTTATTTCACTGTATTATACTCTAAATAACATCTCCAAACACTAATTTTTCCGATTACTGCTTATACTCTTATTACCTCTACCACTACGGGATATGAATCGACCACTACATCTCTATGCTAATGTGTGGCAACTCGAACTGATGTACGTATGTACGAAGTTCTACGTTGTTACTGACTGACTCAAGCTTCTGCCATAATGCTGTGTAATGATAAGCTTTCCCTTTTCAATAAATTTATTTGAACATATAACATTTTTCACGTGGATTGCAGTTTCAGTGTGGTGTGTTGTGGGAATAAAGGCGAACACAGGTGACCTTTGGTGTTATGTAAAAGTAGACAATCCAGCGTATATTTAGGCGAAAAGTAGACAATTCGGCGACATTCGAGAAACAGAGCGACAAAAGGGGTGGAACCCGCATTATTTCCCCCGGGCAGGCAAAAAAGCAGACATTTTGGCGCGTTTCCCTTTTATTTTCCAACGCATGTTCGCCTTTTATTTCCGCTTTATTAGTTGTTTGGGTAAATACAAGCTACGTTATGAAGATATACACTGGTCAGGTACTTGTAGTTCTCAGTTCGTTAGTGTTAAGTCAGCGCTAAATCTCAAACCAGAGGAGTGGCTATGAAAGTTGTACTAACTGATGACTCCTTTATCCTTGATTGTGTGCATATTACGAATCCCAAATTCAATACATCCAGTTTTGCTCAGCTAGATCTGCCTGCTTTGAATTGAACTACTTCAGGAATTCTTATTTATTAAATCAGGTTGAATACTTCTAATTATCACAGTGGCTTGCCTGACTTTTAATTAGTTTGTATTTTTATCTGACACGTGGAAGTATTGCACACTCAATTTAACTTGAGGTAAAAAAAATATAAATCTATCCGACTTCTATTCGGTTTAATTGTAAGTTGCAGTCATAACCAACGTGGAGTCTGGTACAAATGTTTGTAGCTCAAATCGCCATAGCAAGATGAAAAGAGGGTTCAAATAATGCAGTAGTAATGATAATGAGAAAGGCAATATTAGGGATATGGTATTTAAAAATTAGAATAAAGCAATAGATCTAGATTAGGATAAATATGCACTCATTCATTCTGTATTTGAATCTAGAATCGACGGGTCGTCAGTATTGGTTTTCGCATTTAGTCGCTCATAGTCTCCAGTTGGACAGCTACCTTAAAAGACGCTCGTGGAAGTCAGCTGCTGCGTGGCAGACCCAGGCTTCGATACCGTCGGGCCAACTGGCTTTAATGGAAATGAGGGAGGCGAAAGGGTTCTAATCTTAAATAACTTAGAAGTGTGTTCCACCATGACGAATATTAAATATACCAATGAACGAGAAAAAAATATCACAGTATGTAGAAATCCAAGTGTAAAAGTGATATGTAGTGTCCCAACAAGAAACAGACAGTCTACGAGTTAGTGTACCGGATCGCATCGGGCCGACCACTAACGATGCCACAAGTATCCGGAGTTTGACAACGCCTTAACTAGTAACACCCTTAGAATCGAAGTATGCCAACCCACTCAAATCAAAAGTCACAAATGAAGGAGTTCGAAGATATATTTGGAAGATTATCGGTATGTTGAAGGAACGTCTGGTCTAAGCTGGCTAGTAGCTGAAAAGAATGAGTAGCACAGCGTACCCACTCGTGGTCTGGTGCGGATGCGTGACCGAGCGCCTTCAGCTGAGTGAGTCCATTAAAACGAATGTGGTCAGCATCCACTGTCGAAGACATACAGAGCTATTAATTTTGGGGATTTATTTGCCGCTATAGAATCATCAGTTAGTACAACTTTCATAGCCACTCCTCTGGTTTGAGACATAGCGCTGACTTAACACTAACAAAATGAGAACTACAAGTGCCTGACCAGTGTATATCTTCATAACGTAGCTTGTACTTAGTTAAACCATCAACTAGGTAATGATGAAAAGGTTGAACATAAATATAGACCAACAATAATAAACACTGCAACAAGTCTAAATCGAATCTTATACTTACTACAGTATTTGAGAGTCCAATATCCACATTATTCTTCTGCTAACTAGTAGCAAAGTGAGTAAAATGATTGTGAAACGTTATTTTTTGAGGGTATAGAGTGAGAATGACAATGCTAAATATAGCGAATGTCTAATTTCGTCTCTATAGATCGTACACGGCATACATATCTACAGTGCCTCTAGTTCCTAATCCTGTACCCTTTATTCTAAAGACTTGAACTTGTGAAACTATATTTCATGGACGAAATAAACAGATACCATCTCCTAAATTTTTTTTAAGCGAAGTCCACTCATGCACACGGACACAGTGTATTTTTATGTGATAGGTGATGTCATTTCGTGATGAAAACCGTAACTCTAATCCTAATTAGGAATGATGTTGAGACTTAAAGATCTGTTTGGATCTATATTAGTGTTAAAGAACATTGACAAACTAAATCCATTAGGACGAGTTCATTGTTTTTTATTTACAGGCAGATTAACTTGTAGATGTTAATAGACTAAGTAATCGTATAAAATCTCTCCACGCTTTCCAATATCATTGTTTTCTTTTCTATAAACTGTCCATTTATAAAAGCTGCTTTCTGATTAACTAGAGAAGTAGATGAAAATTCATCGCGATTGTTTTAATTTCGTTCCCATACAATACTTTAACCGCCCAGTGAAGTTTGAGTAAACAAAGAACTTGAAAGGAAACTATGAAGGTATATTGTATGTACATTCTTATAACAGAGAAATCACGTTTCACATAGAGTCTTCTGAATAGGAAATGGAAGGACTATAACTTGGATGTATTGATTCATGGTAAATATCTTGTTCAAAATCATCATCAACATCAAGGCACAAGCTTGGATCGAGTTGATTTGAATTAGTTTCATCTACTACAGAGGGAGGAAAATAAGTTGGAACTGGTGGTGGATTAGCATTTAATTCACGTCGACGATTTCTTAACCAAGAGTCGTTCAAATGGCAGTAGGCATGTACAGGCCCTGGTGTTGTACCTGTTACATATATAAGTCCAAGTTTTGGATTAATCCTCACAATCTGGAGAGAATAAATATACGAGAATATAAAAAAGCACGAGAAACTGTCTCAAGGTATAGATATGTATATTCTAACAAGTTCAATAGAATAAAACTAATAAACGTATTAGGTCCTAGTTCAAGTAAGCTTCCCATTTAATTGGAAGCTGAGTTACTTGCTTATACTTGTGCTCTTAAAAACTACTTGACCACTTTCCTTTTATATTTGAAACAGTTCTGTCATTACGTTTACGTCAAAGTTCAGGTGGTTTCATTTGAAATTTATTATCTATGGGGTTACATAACCTTGTTGTAAACTCACATTTAGTTGCTAACAGATGGGAGCAATCGTTCGGAAACTATGGATATTTAAACCAATTGAACAACCTCAGGCCAAAGAGATTATGTTTATCAAGTAATATATAACGTCGTTGATCGCATAGATGGAATGTATCCTCGATCAATGGCAAACAGACTAGCTCTATAACGAACCAACGGTGACTGATATTGATAGAATCTGCTAGAAATCTACCAGTTTCAATTGCTAATTTAAATGTACACGCTTTTCGAGCAATTTTGATAAGTCACTACCAAAAGAGTACAGACCTCCTGCTTCTGATAATTTTTCATAATTACTTGAAATTCAAATAGTGCTATACAAAAAGCGTAACCAGGTAATCTAGAAAACCTAGAAATTTAATGCGAATTAAACAAACTTGATTACAAAGCTAGATGAATATAATGTGATGTAATTTACTTACTAAGCACATATTCATGTGCTCGATGAACGATACTACCTGATTGTTTAAGGTGAGGTAGGCAAAAATGGAACTCGAACTTAGAACCTGGTGTCTCTACTAATTAATATAAAGACTCATCTAAAAACCTAATCAGTAGGCTCAAGTATCCAGGTCATACCAACAATGAAATGTTAACATCTATTGAATGATAGAAGTGATTGTTCGTTGTATTCTTCCTGTGATTATTTGCTAAGCTCCATACTATTTCTGTAGGTCTATAAAACCATAATTCATAATAACATATTGGAGCACATTATCTTCAAAGTAACTGAATTGCTTGATCATTGAGATTTAGAATCTTATAATATAGAATCAGAGGAAGTAAGCCAAAACAGTTTTTACTGTTAGATATTATTTACTACTAGACTAAATAAATTTTACTGGAAAAATCAGACGTATTTAGGACATTTTTATAGTGCATACAGCTTGGTGGTATGCATCAATGATCTAAGGTATTCACAAACACACAATATTCAGACATATATGTTTGCACAATATACAGTAGATTTTACCCGGTGTAAAGTGTAGTATAATCATTTATATTGATAAATCGAAAATTGGGAGGGGTGTGAATTGGAATCTATAATTGAAAATCACTAAAAAAACATCCTCATCTTTATCAAAAAAAAGAGTAATATCGGACAATGAATGCAATACCTTTTAGTAACAAAGAATGCAAAAGTTCATAACGTGGGGTTGATTAATATAATCATTGGCAGTGGGAGTGGTGGTGGTAAACGTTAAGAAAATCAACAAAACAGTGGATAGTAAATAGTGTATTACTGTTTGAGATTGATAAAGTACTTACTGAATAGAATATTAGACACAATCAACGTGTAATAAGCCCTGTAACATGTATTACTGAACATATCTTTAAGTGTTAACACGTGTACATATTCAGTCTTGTTTTAGTGTTTTTTATTTATTTATTTGAATACATAAGAAATGACACAAGGGGGTACCAGATATATATGCCCCACACAAAACAATGTAAGGTGCGTATAAGAAAGAAAGGAAAAGAAGAAAACGATAACAACCACAGATTACTGTATGGTAGTGTAATAATAAGTAACAAAAGTGGAGGAGACGGAAAGGTACAATCAGAAAGAATTCTTTCAGTTAAGGAAAACACAACCACTTTTTATGAAGAAAGTAAAAGAAGGTTACAGCAGGATCACCACTTGCTTCTATTCTGAGCCATATCTGATAACGTCTCTAGCCACTGCGTTGCACCATCTCTCGGACCCCAACCAGGGAGTCATGAAGGACCAACACAAGACAGTCCTTTGCAGTCTTCTTTCATGCCACGACATCATGTCATATACTGACCACCTCTCTGCTTTTTCCAACCAGTCCCAGAGTCGCCAAATAATGTACGACGTGGAATTCTCTGGGACAACATTGGTAGAACATGTCCAAGCTACCGAAGTCAATGTTTCAAGATGGTGACACCAATTGCATTATCGTCTCTGTGCCCGAACACACGATGCCGAACCTCTGCATTACTAACATGGTGTTGCCACTGGATGTCAGCAATCCTTCGGAGACAACGATGATCGAACAAAGAGAGTCGTCTAACATCCTTAACTCGGAGAGGTCAGGCTTCACAAGCATAGAGCAGAACTGCTCTCACCAACGCGTTTTAGATCCGACCTTTTACAGCCAGACTGACCCAGATTGGCATAAGCCGCTCTGGTTTTCACTATACGTGAATGGTCTCATCACTCACGCCACCACCAGCACTTATGTAGCTACCTAGAGACACGAAATTTCACGTTTTTAGTGGAGCATGAACCTTGTTATTACCATAATAATCTTTTCTGTGTGGTACGTTTTGCCAACAACTGATTTAAGCTTTTGTTTTAATACAAGGCTATTTAATTTACCGCTGAACGGTAGGGTGATGTACGTACGGTTTTTTGAGCCAGAAATGTAGTAGGTTTTACTCTGCTATGACCTTTCCATCGATTTATGAATTTCAAATGATAAACATGTTTCGTCAATGTTCTGTTCAACATCACTTCATGTTCATTTATTTATTTTATTTCAACACATAGATAATGGTACAAAGAGGCACCAAATACATATGCGCCACACAAATCTCATTCGATATGTGTGAGGGCTGTGATACTGCCCGGGTGCCCAAACCGAAGCAGGTGGTTTTCTTAGGGGGCCACTCCCCGAGCCTTCGACCTGAAGGTCTGATCCACAAGGCAGTGGAGCATTGTAAGGAGATGCAGTCCCATGGAAGCCGGTGACCAACAATTGGTTCATACGCCATTTGTTCCCGTAGGATACTCGAGCCCATGTGCACCATTGGCTTGGGATCCGGTTAGAGCGACGGACATTCGCTTTTCGTCCTCTCATTTTCGTAAACAACAGTAATGCCACGAGAAGGCAGTGAGTAGGACTTCCCTGGCAGAGGCTATATACGCGTGGCCGTGTGAGAGCATTTCAAGAGGGAGAGCGGACCATCCCACTCTCGGACGTACCAGGGCACTAATATATCACATAGTTCTAGTAATCTCCGTCTTCTTACTACATTATCCAAATTTATCAAAGGGACTACAAGTATCAAAAGTCTAGAACTAAATTTGTACAAACCGTCGCCGAGCTTGCTGTTCAGTCACAAAATATTGATGTTCTACTTTAAATGAACACTGGATTATATATTTTATAATAATTAGTCGAATAGGATTAGTATCACTTCCTGTATAAACGTAGAACCTGATACAGGATACTGGAAATTTCTACTAGAATCACAGATTAGAAATAGAAATCTCACTAACGTCTAAGACTGCACTTGATTTACAAGTTCATCTATCATTGAGGAGATACCACATATAAATCGAACCATCAGAATGGTCGAGGGACGTCGAAAATAAGATTAAATCAAATAGATAATAATTTTAATCTAAACAGAAATTAAAATCTATTTATCAATAACTAATTAGAAAGTCATTTCGAGAGACTGCTTTACAGTTGTAGTCCATAATTGTTAACTTAATCATAAGTGATGGATACGATCGACGTTTATTAGCCCCTAATTTTACGCAGATATTAGTGATTGTGAAGATTTATTTGCTGTATCCGGTTGACTGTTTTGTGACTAGTATTTTTTAAGTGATATCGTTTGGTACACAAATAAAGATATTGAAATAGCGGGCAGGAATCAAGCCTAATCGTCAAGTTTTCGTTTTACTGGTGACTGGGTGACTTAGTTTGTGTTAATAATTAGGTTTCGTGAGCACTTAAAACCCAACCACACTACCACTGTTGCACTATCTACCTATCAGTCAGGATTCAGCTCATCATTTTAACATACTAAAACATGCACATTATCATAAATCCTGAGAACACCTCTAAAACAGAAGCATCAAAAGGGGTTCATCTGAAAACATTCATCTTGTCTTTTTTAATATTCATCATATATATTACCTCAAACTTAGTTATATCCTTAAAGTTTACATCACGGACTAACCTTAATTACAAAATCAATGAAAGCCATGAAGCACTGGATAACTGTTTCGTCTTAGTACTAGACTCCTTAATAATGTCCACCCGTGAAGCCATCAGGAATCAAACTCAGGATATTCAGGTCAACTATCTCCACAATCCCTTATACTTAGTCATGAGACAAATATATAAAAGATTCTGTAAATTGTTTTAGAAAAAAAAACAGAACTTGGCTTACCATTACACCACGTAAGCTTCTGAATCGATTACCCATAACACCTGCCATACGTTTGCCTCGAGGGATTACTCCCTGAAAAATGGAAGAATAATTTAAATGTGATCAGGAGAAATAAAGTAAAACGTACAAATTATTTATACACATTTGTAATATGTGATAGCAATGTGCTACAATACTGATAATCGCATCTTTAATTAAAATATATCAATAATAATACTCCTAGTTTAATGAAATATACAAAAGAAACGGAAATGCAGAAAAACTGCCCTCTTTATAATATGTTGAATATATATATACTGATTGATCACAGAGTAGTAACCAGTGTTCTGCTTGTTTATTTCCTAATCTTAGTCGAATGCTATCGGTCAAGCATAGAGCACATGATGACAAGTTGTTTGGACTAGTGAATACATAATGGTTTGATTTTTAGAGCTTGATCAACACTAACAAGAGACTAAACAGACATGGTATTAGCTACTACTCAGTGATCAATCAATGCAAATTTGTTAATTATATAAGTCAGTCGCGACCCAAAATACCAATATTAAACGTCCTTAAATGTAATTTTTGAGCGAAACTGGTTCGAATCTTACAGGGAGGTAATTAGTTTGAATAATTGTTCTACTTACTTCAATTCCTGCATTACTTCCCATTCTACGATGAAATTTAGTAGAACCATGAGCAGCAGGTCCGCCTTTCATTCCCCAACGTTCAATAACACCTTCAAAGCCACGATTAGTGCTGTAAGAAGAAAGATACTGAATTAAAATTAGTAGGTAAATTGTAATTACTGTACAGACGCCCAACTTCGAGATCAACAAGCTGGATTCCGTAAGGATCGGTCGTGCACAGACCAAATTGCGACACTACGGATCATCGTCGAACAATCAATTGAGTGGAACTTGCCACTATACATCAACTTCATTGATTATGAAAAGGCGTTTGACAGTGTAGATAGGAGAACATCATGGGATCTTCTTCGACACTATGGAGTTCCTGAGAAGATTGTCAACATTATTCAGAACTCATACGACGGAATACAGTGCAAAGTAGAGCGTGGAGGACAGCTGACAAATGCATTTCAAGTAAGGACTGGAGTCAGACAAAGCTGTCTACTTTCTCCCTTCCTCTTTCTTCTGGTGGTCGAATGGATTATGAAGACCTCGACATCTGAGGGAAAACACGGAATACAATGGACAGCTCAGAACCAATTAGACGGTTTGGACTTTGCAGATGACCTAGCCCTCCTATCGCATACACACGAACAAATGCAGATAAGGACAGCCAGTGTGGCAGCAGTCTCTGTACATCAGTAGGCCTCAACATACATAAGGGGAAAACCAAGGTCCTCAAATTCAAGGCGGAGAACAGCAATCCAATCACTCTTGATGGCGAAACTCTGGAAGATGTAGAATCCTTCACATACCTGGGAAGCATCATCGATGAACAATAAGGATGTGATGCAGACCAATATCAAAGTCAGAATCTTCAATACGAACGTCAAGGCAGTTCTACTGTACGGAGACGAAACTTGGAGAACTACTACAACCACCATTAAGAAGGTACAAGTATTTATAAATAGTTGTCTACGCAGGACACTCAACATTCGTTGATCGGATACCATCAGCAACAGCCTTTTGTGGGAGAGAACAAACCAGCTTCTAGATGAAGAGGAAATTAGGAAAAGACAATGGAAATGGATAGGACATACATTACGCAAATCGTCAAACTGCATCACGAGGCAAGCCCTAACTTGGTAATCCTGAAGGGAAGCGGAAAAGAGGAAGGCTAAAGAACACATTACGTCGGGAAATAGAAGCAGATATGATTAAGGATGAATAAGAACTGGAAGGATTGCCCAGGACATGGCTGGATGGAGAATGCTGGTGAGCGCCTATGCCCTTCCACGAGGAGTAACAGGCGTACGTAACGTAACAAGTAAGTACATAAATAGTTTGACACTATATTTTGCAATTCAAATAGCAGTTTAATATTGCTACTGTTTTATGAGGGAAAAAACAGCACAACAATACAATGCTGTCACACTAGTTAGTTAATTAAAGACAGTTATTTTTTTAAAATAAGTTGTTAATAATTCGATTATGTAGAAAATAATGATCTCATGATAACTGAAACAAATTTAGGCATAATCAACAAACTCTACATTGTTAATATACATTATACAATGGAAAAATATAACATTATACAAATTGGCGATGTAAAAATGTTGAGGGAAACATGATTAGATCAGATCATCAGTATATACCAGCAAAGAAAAATCTTTTAAATAAGAAGACTCAGTAACACCTGATCTTTATTTACACATATACAGATGATTTACACAGTTTTACAAAGTTAAAGAGCGGCAAGTATATTAACGTAATATCCACTTCTTCCACATATATTAGTTTTATTTTTTAGCTACTATTCGATTTTGTAGTATTTTAGATTACACATTTATCGATCCATTATATGATTATCACTTAATTTGAACAAGTTAGTAAGAAAATGACTGTGAACTAAAGCTTACTTACGCTTGTTACCCCTTGGCGGCATTTGACTCTGTTGATCGTAAGGTTCTATGGCAGTGTTTGTCACTGAAAGGAGTACCAAAGAAGTACATTAACCTTATAAAGGCTCTCTACTCGAACACAACTGGTAGAGTGAGAGCTTATGGCGAACTGTCATCAGAATTGATCACGTCAAGTGGTGTTCGTCAGGGCTGTCCACTCTCCCCATTCTTGTTCAACTTTGTCATTGACGTACTTCTAGAGATAACACTCTCCTCATCTAAATTTACAGGGGTTGAACTTCTACCGGGAGGTTCACTTGTTGACTTAGAATATGCTGATGACATAGTTTTATTTGGTGGAGACGCTGACAAAATGCAGTCTTCTGACCACTCTAAGCAACAATGCATGCATGTTCGGGATGCGATTCTCTCCCTCGAAATGCAAAATGTTGCTTCAGGATTGGGTTGCATTGACACCCGAACTAATGATAGGGAGTGAAGTAATTGAGCGTGTCGATCGCTTCACTTATCTTGGAAGTCTCATCAGCCCTTGTGGTCTGGTGTGTGACAAAATCTCAGCACGGATACAGAAGGCTCGACTAGCTTTTACCAACTTGCGTCATTTATGGCGTAGGCGAGATATCTGTCTATCAACCAAAGGACGGGTTTACTGCGCAGCAGTTCGTCCCGTCCTACTTTATGGCAGTGAAACATGGCCGGTAAGAGTAGAGGATATTCGTAGGTTACTAGTATTTGATCATAGGTGTCTTCGAAATATTGCTCGTATATCCTGGGGCCATCGAGTAAGTAATGCAGTTGTTAGGAAACGGGTACTAGGTAAGGATGGCAAATGAATTGATGACGTAGTGAAACTTCATCAGTTGAGATGGCTTGGACACGTGTTACGTATGCCCAACGACCGACTGCCTCGACGTGCTATGTTCAGTGGTATAGGAGTAGGTTGGAAGAAAGGTAGGGGCGGCCAGACCAAAACATGGCACAAATCCATGGAGTCACTGACAAGTGGTCTGAGTCATGTCGGTACGTGTAGACTACCCGGTTGGGGACCGCGAGATGATAGCAACCGATGGTTAGAGACCTTGAATGACATGACTCAAAATCGTTTGCAATGGCGCAGGTGCATAAACTCTTTGTGTTCTCCCAAATTTTGATCTCCTTATTCCTCCTTGTCTCTTTTTTTTCTCTTCCCAAATTTATTTCACTGTATTATACTCTAAATAACATCCCCAAACACTAATTTTTCCGATTACTGCTTATACTCTTATTACCTCTACCACTACGGGATATGAATCGACCACTACATCTCTATGCTAATGTGGTGTGGCAACCCGAGCTGATGTACGTACGTACGAAGTTCTACGTTGTTACTGACTGACTGACTGTCGGGGAGCATAGGCTGCCCACCAACACCCTCTATCCAACCTTGTCCTGAGCAATCCTTTACAGTTCCTCCCAGTCGTTATTCATTCTTTTCATTTCTGCTTCCAATTCCCAAAACAATGTGCTCTTCAGCCTTCCGCCTTTCAGTTTAACTTCAGGATTCCGAGTTAGTGCTTGTCTCATGGTGCATTCTAGTGACCTCTATGATTTGTGTCCGATCCACCTCTTGTCTTTGCTTAATTTCCTCTTCATCTGACAGCTGGTTTGTTTTCTACCAGAGTAGGCCGTTGCTGATGGTATCCGGCCAACAAACATTCGGTATCTTATGTAAACAATTGTTTAGAAATACTTGTGCATTTTTGATGACGGTTGTGGTAGTTCTCCCTACAGTAGAACTGTCTTGGCGTCCGTATTGAAGATTCTGAAGTTGATATCGGTTGACAGTTGTTTTGAGTTCAATATGATTTCCAATTGTAGGAATGCTGTTTTTGCTTTGCTAAACCTTGCCCTTACGTCTGCATCAGATCCTTATTGTTAATCGATGATGCTTCCCAGGTATGTGAAGGATTCTACATCTTCCAGAGTTTCTCCATCAAGTGCGATTGGGTTGGTATTTTCTGTGTTGTATTCCAAGATCTTGCCTTTTCCCTTATGTATGTTGAGACCTGCTGCTAAACTGGCTGTCTTCACCTGTATTTGTTGCTGTTTATGAGATAGAAGGGCTATGGTGGTATAATTAACAATCTAACACGGTAAATTGGACTGAAGCTCTAAATTTGACTAAATGTTGTGTTGATGCAATCTAGCTAGTGGTGTTTGGATTCGATTTCACTTCATGTTGAACGTCAGTAACTTATAAGGTGAATTACACTTAAATTTAGTGTCATAAGACACCTCAAACTATATTTACTTAACTTTTAGTTCCGATTTTCAGCTAATTTACATTTGAGTTTTTAAAATGTTAACTAATGTGAAATGCTTTTTCCCCCTTAATGGTTTGTCAACTAGTTCGCTTGCTCTCCTGTTCTAGGTTCTTGTCTTGGCTGAGTGGATTGATATCACCAACCTAAAGTACACCTTTTTCCAGTCTCTCTGTAATAAACAGCTCATCTTCAAGGTAGATACAGATTTACTGATGAAAAGCAGTTATTACTTGACAGCAGATTAATCTCTACCTCAGACCAACCACCTTAAATTATTCGGTGGGTACATCCAACATACTAATTAAATACAAGTTGATCTACTAAACACTATGACTACACTTGGTATCTGATGGTCACATGATACAATTAAGCTGCTAAGAGCTCTTGGTAAAGGGATGGTGTTCGAACCCGTGACTAAGATTCAAATTTGAGTGCGCAAGTCAATGTATTATGGAACGATTAATAAATAACGAATGCATTCAAGCCAAGAAAATAATCATGTGTTGAAAAATATATAAAGTAGTTTGATACCATATGAAATAAGACTGACTGATACGTTTCGAACTGACAAAACAGCTTTTGAAAAATTTATGAACAGCAAAAAATTACACAAACATAGAAATTTAATTTCTAAAAAAAAGCAACTTACGTTCTTGCAGTTATATCCAAACGGTCACCTACACGAAAATGATGCACACCCAAAGGCGTTCCTAAATTTAAGACAGGAAACAAAATTCACCAACTGAGATCCTTTGATAAAATGTTACAGGATGAATAAATACTGAGGTTTCTGTACTAAATGTATGTAGTTTATATTCAATATCAGTAAGTCAATCATAAACAATGTAGGGTCTGGAATAAATAGAGAGTTCATCATTTGCAGCTATCCGGGTAGCTGCATAAGTGCTGGTGGGGGTGTGAGTGATGAGATCAATGCACGTATAGTGAAAGCAAGAGCGGCTTATGCCAATCTGGGCCATCTTTGGCGCCTTCGTGATGTTAGTCTGGCTGTAAAAGGTCGGATCTAAACGCGTTGGTGAGAGCAGTTCTGCTCTATGCTTGCGAAACCTGGCCTCTCCGAGTTAAGGATGTTAGACGACTCTCTGTGTTCGATCATCGTTGTCTCCGAAGGATTGCTGACATCCAGTGGCAACACCATGTTAGTAATGCAGAGGTTCGGCATCGTGTGTTCGGGCACAGAGACGATAATGCAATTGGTGTCACCATCTTGAAACATTGACTTCGGTAGCTTGGACATGTTCTACCAATGTTGTCCCAGAGAATTCCACGTCGTACATTATTTGGCGACTCTGGGACTGGTTGGAAAAAGCAGAGAGGTGGTCAGTATATGACATGATGTCGTGGCATGAAAGAAGACTGCAAAGGACTGTCTTGTGTTGGTCCTTCATGACTCCCTGGTTGGGGTCCGAGAGATGGTGCAACGCAGTGGCTAGAGACGTTATCAGATATGGCTCAGAATAGAAGCAAGTGGTGATCCTGCTGTAACCTTCTTTTACTTTCTTCATAAAAAGTGGTTGTGTTTTCCTTAACTGAAAGAATTCTTTCTGATTGTACCTTTTCGTTTTCCCATTTTTACCATTATTATTATTACACCACCTTACATCAATCTCTTTTTTCCTCCCCTTTAAATTGACTTAACCGCTCCTATGAATCCGGTGTTCATCTTGTTGTGTTAATGAGGTATAGCATCCAATAGCCAATGAGTCTGTATTGCATTGACTGTCTGGTCACGATGTCAGTCAGTCAGCTACAACGTAGGACTAGGCACATATATGCATCGCTCCAAGTTGCTATACCTCACTAACACAACAAGATGAACACCGGATTCACAAGAGTGGTTAGGTAAGTAGTCGTAATATATAGAAGAAAGATTGCATATAAGGATATAGTACAGGAAGAAAGAATTAGTTCGTAGAAAGAAAGATATGAATCGATTTTAATCTCTTAGTTTAAGGCCAGATAGATAGTGTATACACCGACGCCATTGAGATCGATTCTGAGCCATGTCACCAAGAGTCTCCAACCATTGGTTACGATAGTCACGCGGACCCCAACCAAGTAGTCTGCATCTACCAACATGACTCAGACTAGAAGTTAGTGACTTCAAGCACTGATTCCACGTCTTGGTTTGGCCGCCCCTAACTTTCTTCCAACCGTCTCCAACACTGTGAGCTATAACAAACTCTCAAACTAACAATCTTATATAAGAACACAGGTGAATCAATGTTTTGGTAAATTACAATTTAAAATAATAGGTCATTTTACTTCACAACAGGAAATGAAGTGAACTGACAAAGATATATTAATTAATATGGATGGTGGGATATCCGTGATTGCTACTGTGGAGGTTATGAGTAGATCAAAAAAATTCTGATTAACTAACCAGGTTTTAAAGCAGCATCAGGGCTGACCAAAAAACGAGATATTTTACGCTTTGGTGGTATACCAGCTTTTTTAAATAAATCACACCACTCAGAAGTGAACTCGATAGGGTCAGCAGAAACTGCTCCAACCAATTGTATACCCCAACGTTTTTGAGTTATCCAGGAAGGAGGCCGTTTATTATTTAGCCAATAGTGACGTGGATGTAGTAAGCTGATGTATTTGTCGATCTCTGAAGGAGGTGTATAACGAATAGCATGATTGTCAGGGATCTGATAGAAATAAAAATGTAGAGACAAGAGTAGGATGGTTAACTAGGTGTTATTGTTGATGTAGTCCACTACTTTCACATATCACCAAATTGGTATGCGCAGAATAACTTACGAAAGCTAAAAGCTAAATATTATGTTGTGTCATTCAAACGGTGACCCATTTCGTTTAATGGGATTATTTTAATCAATAAAACCCAGATAATGTTTATTAGCATTTTCAAATACTATGCCACAGGATTTTAAACCGTTTTCTTAGAAGTTCAGTAAAGACAAACAACGTAACTCTGTTTAAGAAAGAATTAGGGCTGAAATGTCACTTTTAGGCTGAAGATTAACGACATATGTTAGTAAGTTGACAGTCAAGATATTTTATAAACGTCTGAAATTTGACTGGTTTTCTTCAATTTCTTATTCAACGAGTTTGAATATAATGTAAGTAGCAACGAGCTACGCTACTTGAAAAAATAGTTTATTTTGAGAAGGACAAAAACAAACAAAAACAAAGCAATGGTTTGTGGAATGAAATTATAACCATCATCTAAGCCCTTTTAGTTACTGCATGGTGCTTTATTTTAGGCTAAGGGCAGCATGACAGGTACCTAAATTGGGCTATAATTCAATCATTGCAAGGATCGATACAACGATAGTCGATACATCCGTATTACCATCTATAAGATATAACACATGTTGATAATTAGTTTTACCGATGTAATTAGCTTCTTTGTGGCATACACATGATGTAGTAAGGTAAATGTAATGACCTAATTTCATGATAAGGTTTGGTAATCGTTACATAAGCGAATCATTCGCAATTCTCACAAGTGAATATTAGATCACGATACACATCGATAATGGCTTTTGAGTATTGAAACATGAACAGTTAACTTAAAAATGTACATCTAAATTTGTTCTAGAAAGTTAGATCTGTATTAGAATTCCGTAACATTACATGTTACACTCTCAAGTTGCATTCTATTTACTTCTTTGGAATTTTGAAGATCACATACACTGTTGGCTTGGAGTAATAACTTTTAAAACCTTGGAAATATATATACTTCCAAATATTGAACTGAACTGGCTTAGGGTTTTAGACCCATTATGTACCAAGTTTGCATAATCAGTCAAGTAGAAGTATGAGTAGACTATGTGGAGCAGTGACCTGAAGGTTGAAGCACTTGACTTTCAACCAGTAGATTTTAAGTTCGAACCTTGCAACAACGACTTAAATTTAGGCACATGAAGAGTATTACAGATATAAAAATGATGGTTATAGTTGAGTGGCAAACAAACCGTCCAATTCAATTTTTATTTGACAATTTCTTAGTTGGATTAGTTGAGCATTACAAAAGGATGTTAGTAGCTGAGTCACATAAACTAATAAACCCACCTGGAAAATAGTACAGTCGATTTTCTTTCCAGTTTTAGTCCACAGTGGGTATAATCCTAGCTTGATTGCAATAAGACCGCATCTTTGTGTAACATATGGTTTCCATGGTACCTGTGCCGGTTGTTCAGTAATGACGGGGCTTGTAGAACTGGTTAATGAATCTATACGCTGTTGTTCTAAAAATGTCTTGTTTTCTGATGTAACATCTTCATCTACATAAGGACTAGCCTCTTGAGTAACCCAAAACGGCTTTTTTCGATTCATCCATGGATAAAGAACTTTGTTTAGGCTTCCCATAAATCTTACGGGCTCTCTATAAGTGAACTTAACAGTCATTCTACAAGTAATGTGAAAACAATATTAGAAAATACCATAAGCGTACCTGATGAATACTCCACCAAATACTTCGAACATTATTCAATACTTTGAAATGGGTAGAATGACAAATCTTCCCAAAGGCTGAGTAATAAACAAATAAATATATTTGCAAAGACACTATTAAATAATCTGAAAGAGATATTTAAAAACACAAATGTATCAAATTATCGTACAAGAAAATTTATTCTGTTGTGAAAGGGATGTATACCAAAATCATATAAATAACTAAAACAAAGAATGAAACACTATTAAATTAAGAGGATGAATAAAATTAGGCCCCTGATAAAAATAAAGACGTGGTATTCTTATTTAATATGGGTTGAATAGTTACTGACCTTTATTATACATAAAAGCTTTTCAGATGATGTATAACTAGCAAATTTACAACGTTAAGTTCACTTAACCTAAAGTGACCGGGATAACTCTGCTAATTTTTTTTTATCAGTCAACTACGTATTTAACACTAACAAATTCAAGTGTTCATGTTAATATTGAATAACGCATGAAATTGAAATATGACGAAATGAGTAGGACATTATAGTATGAAAAATCTGTATTTTAAGTGTAAACGCTTGTACACCAAAACCAAAATTTATAGACGGACTAATGAAAATAAAAACAGAAATCAGAGATTTTTGTGCAAAGTCCATTCATTCATAAGCCTAAGTATCGTTTTGACATAAAAGCCGACGTCAGTTCATGATAAAAAAACCTAACTCCTAACTCTCGATCATAACCCTGGCTCTTCACACTTCTGACCCAAGTTGGTTTTTTCAAAACCATTAAAAAGCTACTCAATCTCAAGCTCGTTTGACGAGACTATAATATATGGACGAGCCAATCAGAAGAGTTTGAGAGATTTCAATGTAATAGCACCAAGTTAAGTACCTGGTGCTCACGTACGATCGCCTCACAGCGGATTACAGAGACGTAACAATTGAGCGACTATAATAAATGGGGCGACGGGACTATAGTTTATGGACGAACAAATCAGATTTAAGTTAGCAGGTCTTAAATTTTGGCGCGAAATCCATTCACTCTTTTGACTAGAAACCGTTTCGTCACTATAACTGATGTCAATTCGTAATAAAAACATTGAATCTAATTTTTAACCTTAACGTTCAACTGTAAATACCAGTACTAATTCCTTGCACTAATTTATAACCCTCATGTAGGTGGACATTTTCAAGACCATGTTAGCGTTGCTCAAAGATCGCCCATAAATTATAGCCTTAACGGTCAAATGTGATTCAAGAAGAACTTACGTTGACCAATATGGATTACAACGTGCAGCCTCGAGGCTGTCAGATCTGGTAGGTCTACATCTAACATAAAAGTCGTTAATGTGCTGGGGGTGTGAGTAGCCTTGAGATCATTTAGAATAGAAAAAGACTCAGAAAGCACATTGAACCCACTTACATTTATCAACGGAAGTAAACGAAGAAAATTAGAAGTAACACAGACGTGAGACAGACAATCCGATGTTTGCCCTCAAGGCCATAATTTGATATACAACGTCCAATATGTGTTTACCACAGTCTAATCTCAAAGATTTTATATTGGCATTTGGCGATTATGGTCTTGTATCTTAAGTGTGGGTCATTTTGAAAGAAGAGAAGTAAATATTTTTATTTCTACTTTTCCAATGACACCAGACTTTACTGCAACACCCTTTTGTTTAGATTCAGATTTGTGTAGTAAGCACAGGTCTATAGTCTTTTCTAGTATGCTTCTGTGAATGTCTATTCTTCTCTTGAATGAGTCACTTGAAAATGTCGACACCATCGTTTCGTGTAACTGGTTCCAAAAATTAATGACTCGATGTAAAAACCTGTATGCCACTGATATTTTGTTCGTTCTTGGCTCTCCTACAAACCTGCTATGTCCTCTGAGATGTCATAGTCTGTTAGGAATGAAAAAAGAGGATGTGTTGGGTCCATAGTTATTTGTTAGTATTCTATACATCAAAAGCAGATCACCTCTTAACCTGCAGTAGCACAGAGTAAAGAGGTCTAGAGTTTCAAAACGCTCTCTGTACCTTTTCCAGGATATCCGAGTCGCCTTTTAAACAGAGGTTTCAAGCATGAACTCAGTTTTTAATCTTAGTTCTCACTAAGGTTTGTATGATATGGTGATCATGGTATTATTTAACTTTATGAATATCCGTCTTAGAGCTCATAAGTTTCTAAACCACTCAGCTGCAACTTCGTGACAATGGGCCGTGGTCTTAAAACCATGACTCACAGTCACCTCAAGATCCTTGTGAGGCTGAATAAGGGTACAGGCACTTTTCTTATGTCGGGCCTAGCGACTTTGTATCACCAAAGTGCATGTATACGCACTTTACCGCCTTGATAGACAACATCCATTTTTTAGACCAGCTAATCAGAATATTTATGTCTTTCTGAAGTGCACATGTATCTGCGTCGCCTGTTATGTCTCTCCAGATTTATGCATCACCGACGTATATTGACATTGAGGACTCAACTATACTTAGGTCATTTACATACAGTATGAAAAGTAAAGGACCTAAGACAGAACCTTACGATACCCCACTATGTACTGGTCTCCAGGTGGAGCACTTAGAACTTAGTCTTACTTTCTGTCTACGACCTACCAGGAAATCCTTAATCCATTCTGGGAAAGGTTCGGCATTTCATAAGTTTTCCTGATTCAAGAGCAGTATATTTGTTGGGACCTTATCAAATGCTTTGCTGAAGTTGACAACATCCACTGATTTTCCATTATCTAGAGCCTCTATCAATTGCTCATTTGCTATGAGGAGGTTTGTTGTGTAAGACAAACCTTTTTTAAAACCATGTTGTTCACTGCTTAACTAGTTGTTGGTTTCCACGAATGTCATTATGGCCTTTTTGACTATTCTTTCCGGTGTTTTAACCACGACACTCATGAGGTTGACAGGTCTGTAGTTTGATGGAAGTTGGCATGGTCTCCCTAACTTTTATAGGTTCCCGTAATAGCCTTCAAAAGTTATTATCGTAGTAAGAATTTATATAATCCAGAACACCTATAACTCTGGAATTAATTTCTATCTAGTTCTTCATACAACTACTGACCATCGCTAAAACGAAATTGTCAGAAACCCGAAAAATCACTAGTGTTAGAATGGATCATGAATATGCGGCGTTTATCAATGCTGATTTCCGCAACCTCTTATTAGGCAGAAACCGCAAACCTGAATAAACCGAAACTAGAAAATGAAGGGAGAAGTCGAATTATAAATTGTGGTGAATATGTCCATTTCCATTTAGTTTAAACTTACTTGTCGTAAGTCATTCGAAGCAGGGCGTACCCAAACAAATGCTAAACGCGCATCCAGTTGCTTTAATTCATAGATGTGTCCAGAAGGACTTACATAGTTAGTATTGTAACAGCTTAGGTTGATTAGTTAAGTGTTGACCTCAAACAACTAAGTATATATCAAAACAATGGAGCTCAAGTAATAACTCATTTCCTTATTTCGTATAGGCATCACATTTAATATTATCCTAAAAAGCTGTGTGTTTGAACGGGTAACCTATTCACTTCTTCACTGGTAGTCTGGTTTCTTGTACCAATAAAAGGAGGGTTGTCTACAGGCACGAAGGTATCAACGTCCAAAATTCATAAAGCGAATTTTGAGGATTTGTGTTTTACTATATACTAACATGAATATATAAGCACACACGTACAGTGATGCAGTATCCAAGTTAATTTCAACTAGGACATCCGAGTCAACAGGTAGGAGAAAATGAGAAAAAATTGATTCGCTTTACTCCAAGGATATGCATTTTACTACAAAATAATTGCGAACTAACTTACACCTGTTAACCTCCATGAAGAAGTATGGCCCGCCCACCAACACCCTCTATCCAACCTTGTCCTGAGCAATCCTTTACAGTTCCTCCCAGTCGTTATTCATTCTTTTCATTTCTGCTTCCAATTCCCAAAACAATGTGCTCTTCAGCCTTCCGCCTTTCAGTTTAACTTCAGGATTCCGAGTTAGTGCTTGTCTCATGGTGCATTCTAGTGACCTCTATGATTTGTGTCCGATCCACCTCTTGTCTTTGCTTAATTTCCTCTTCATCTGACAGCTGGTTTGTTTTCTACCAGAGTAGGCCGTTGCTGATGGTATCCGGCCAACAAACATTCGGTATCTTATGTAAACAATTGTTTAGAAATACTTGTGCATTTTTGATGACGGTTGTGGTAGTTCTCCCTACAGTAGAACTGTCTTGGCGTCCGTATTGAAGATTCTGAAGTTGATATCGGTTGACAGTTGTTTTGAGTTCAATATGATTTCCAATTGTAGGAATGCTGTTTTTGCTTTGCTAAACCTTGCCCTTACGTCTGCATCAGATCCTTATTGTTAATCGATGATGCTTCCCAGGTATGTGAATGTTGTAACGTGTGTGGACTTGCAGGTTATGTTAGACAGCGTTTATATCGATCGATCACAGTAGACACGGAAACACGTATGGACGACCTAGTGCCCTGATTGGTCCCGCTTCGCAGTCTGTCCTAGCCAGTTGAGTCAAGAACGAAAGTCACAGCCTCTGAGTTATGAATCATTATATTTCAAACATACTTTGTTTATATACCAATCAAGCATACCACATCGTACCATAAAATAGGAAACAACATTTACAAAATATTTAACAAGTGAAATAACATTGACCAATAAGAAATGTACATTTAAGGTCCAAGGCCACCATAGACTTAACACGATAATTATTGGTATATTTTTCCGACTATCCTAACAGTGAAGGATTCTACATCTTCCAGAGTTTCTCCATCAAGTGCGATTTGGTTGGTATTTTCTGTGTTGTATTCCAAGATCTTGCCTTTTCCCTTATGTATGTTGAGGCCTACCGCTCCAGATGCTGTTGCTATACTAGCTGTTTTCACCCTACATTGTTGGTGTGTCTGGGATAGAATGGCTTGGTTGAACCCAATCTGTCTGTTGTATTCCATGCTTCCCCTCAGATGTAGAGGTATTCATAATTCAATCAACCATCAGAAGAAAGTGAAACGAGGATAGTATGCAACCTTGTCTGACTCCGGTGCTTACTTACAATGCGTCTGTCTGCTGTCCTCCATGCACAACTTTGCAATGTAGTCCGTCGTATGAATTCCATATGATGTTGACAATCCGCTCAGATACACAACGTGGTCGAAGAAGTTTCAATATGTTTCTCCTACATACACAGTCAAATGCTTTCTCGTGGTTAGGGAAGTTGATTTATAGTGACGGGTTGCATCCAACTGACTGTTCAAAGATGATCTGTAGTGTGGCGACTTGATCTGTGCACGACCGATCCTTCCGGAATCCAGCTTGTTGATCTCGAATTTGGGCCTCTACTGAGTCTTTCATCCGGTTCAGCAACACTGTTGAAAACCTTTCCTTGTACTGACAGTAATGTGATTCCTCCGAAGTTCTCACATTTACTCGGATCTTTATTTGGTATCTCGATGAGGTATTCTTCTTTTTAACACATTGGCACTTGTTCCTCCTCTCAAATATTCCTGAATAGAGTGTGAGGCATATTAGCGGCTGCTTCTATATCTGAGTTCAGTCTTTCGGCTGGTATATTTTCAGATCTTACTGCTTTCCCACTCCTGATAGTTCCGATGACTATCCCGATTTCTTCGATCGTCGACAATGTGACGTGAATAGGAATGTCTGTGTGTGCCGATTCGATGTCCGGTAGATTCAGTGGAGCTGGTCTATTGAAGAGATTTTCAATGTTTCACCTGTCTGGTCATTTGTTCTTGAATCTCGGTGATCGTCTTGCCTTCTTTGTCCTTGATCGGTCTCTGGTTTACAATAATTTCCTGTCAGTTTCTTCATCGTATCATATAATAATTCGTTAGCTCTTCCATATATTTCTGCTTGCTTGCTTCTGTGTAATCAGTATGTGCCTTGAATTCTCTGTTCTCATTCGGCTGTTTTCCTCCTATCCACACTGTCAAACACCTCATAGTCAAGGAAGTTGGTGTATAGTGACGAGTTCCATTCAATTGACTGCTCAACAATGATCCATAGAGTCACGACTTGGTCCGGGCATGATCAATCCTTACGGAATCCTGTCTGTTGATCTCGAGGCTGAGCGGCTACTGAATCTTTCATCCGATTCAGTAACACCGTTGAAAACGTTTCCTGATACCGACAGTAGTGTGATATCTCTGTGGTTATCACACTTGCTCAGATCTCCTTTCTTTGGTATCTTGATGAGGTACCCTTCTTTCCAGTTTGTCCGCGCTTGTTCTTCCTTTTAAATCTTCCTGAATAGGATGTGGAGCATGTTTGCAGTTACTTCTATGTCTGAGTCCAGTGCTTCAGCTGGTATATTGTCAGGTCCTACTGCTTTACCATTCTTGATTTGTCTGATGATCATCCTGGTTTCGTCGATCATCGGTGGTGTGACGTGTGTAGAAAAGTCTGTGTGTGTTGCCTTGATGTTCGGCGGATTCAATGGAGCTGGTCTATTGAAGGGATTTTCAGTGTTCGACCCATCTGTTCATTTG